GGGCCAGCCCCACCGCCCGCCGTCGGTGGTTTTGTGGTAGGCTGGGGTCCGCGCTGCTTCGCTGTGTGGGAAGCACGGCTGTGGGCGATGCTGGGGCGTACGTGCCCTAGGCCAAGTCTCTGGCGGGGCTTCTGCACAGAGCGAGTGCTCTTGATGGAAGGAACGGCAGAAATAGGTTTGAGATTCACCCTTTAAGGTATATACTTAGCTTTGCAGTTTCTGAAGAGGGAGGCTGTTGTCGCATGTGTAGGAGATGTACAAACAGATTGATGCAGTTACCCAGTTAAGATTTCTGGCAGTCTTTGACTCAACCTCAAGTGTGGCTGATGAACGTATCAGGTGAATGGTTACTTAATTTCTCTGAAATGGAAGAATGCACAGAGGATTCCTGTGAAACAGGAAGGCCAGCCCTTTGTCAGCATGCCTCAAAGTAGCAATTAATGTGTAGTTCTCGCTAGTCTAACTCTGAAACAAGGACAGGAGCCTCAAAAATACCAAACAATCAAAAATAGACGATATATTAAAGTGAAACTTGTTTATGAAATGGATGTTTCTCGAGGCGCATTTTGTTGCAGATCTTTCAAAACCCATGTTTAGTCCTTAACTAGGTGGATTTTGGAGCTTCTGCCATTGCAGTTAGCTTCCTGGATAGTCTTAGAATCCCATGTGAGTCCACAGATGATGGATTAAAATATGCAGTGAGTCATATGAAATTGGTGCCAATTGAAATGCACAGGTTGTAGATCACTGCAGAATTTGACTCAGTAAATAGCAGTCATAAATGTAATACTTTGCAATTCTAAGCACTGCGTCTATCTTAGATTAGCTTCTTTCTTCTTTCTGAGGAACAGAAAGCGCTCCTTAAAATACTAATTTACTGGTCTTCATGGGAAGCCTGAGAAGTGATGCTAGGTTGGTGTCCTAGCTTTCAGCCGGCTAAACTTAAGTTACAGAGGGGATGGATGGGTTGCTTGTGATAGTGTGTGAAAGCTGTGGTGGAGCCAGGAACATAATCCAAGTCTCCTGACTCCTGGATTTGAACTTTAAAACCAGATCATGTTTCCTTTGTGCTTTCAGTCTGTATACTGACCTTTAGGAATCGTATTTACCTACAAGTTCCCAGAAGAGATCTACTTTCCCTTGACATGCTTTCCTGGTATCAATTACGCTTTTCTTCTGATGAGTATTTTGAGCATGTAGAATACACAGAGAGCACAAATGAAAAGGGTGTTTTCTGTGGAGGCGCTGGGGGCCAGGTCTGCTCCCTGTAGATGGTGTTAACAAGTGATAGGAAGTGGTGGATGTGGGTCCACCACTTAACGCTAGCGAAACACTGTTTCTGTAAATGCTGATACCGATCCTTTCTTCAGACCTTGGTGCAGAGGAGGGAGCGGTTAGGCCCACAGTGCTGAGGGTGGAGAGGGGTCTGTGCTGGGTACACTGGGAGGGTACTGCTCTGAGGTTCTCCTTTACGTCAGGCTCTTTCAGTCCCTACACCTTCCAAGAGGCAAAAGGCTGTTCCCCTCTTCTCGTGTCTCTGTAACTTTAAAGAAGCAGCAGGTAAAGAAGAGGAAGGAAATTTGAAAACTTTAGAAAATTCCAACATGAGAAATAAAAAAGATGGTGAAATTGTTTCACTCTGTCGTGGTGGAAAGCCATGGAATCTGATTGTTCTGACTCTCCAGGAGGGAGACCTCCATGACCAGATGTCATTAGAACTGGATTGGCTGAGCTCCGGCTTGCTGGCCTATTTGAAAGCTCAACTGATTGAAGGCAGGATTAAAATCATACGTTTGAGCCCAGTTGTAATGGACTTCCCAACTTCGGGAAAGTGTGGGGAATCCTGTGTTGTCCTTAAAGTTGTATGTTTTCATGATCCTTTCTTCCAGCTGTTCTTCCAACAGCTTTGTGCTGTTTGTACGTGCAGCCAAAAGTAGCCATACTGCTACCCCAGGCTGCCCACCTGCTGCTTGATATTTACAGTCTGTGGTGGTTTCTGAATCTTCAAAGTTACCTCTTAAAAAAAATTAAGGTTTAGCTCGGTGTCTTAACCTCAGTACCACAACAGAATCTTCACAGGCATAAGAGAGGTCATAGCTTACAGTGCAGCCTTGGGTAAATATCACAGGAAGCAGCTGAGATAATTTGTTTGACACTTAACTTGTCTTAAGTTATCTTCATCGGAGTGATGTGGTATCTGGATCAAGTCTTACAGAATCGAAGGCCAGTGCTCATATATGTTTGTGTAACTCTGGGGGAATTTTCCACATTCCCACGTTAGTTTGCATGGAGAGCAATACAGCGTTTCGCGCAAAGTTTCCTGATGACATGAGAGCTATTCCAACAGGTCAGCCCTATGGTTCCATCCAGTTCTCTGGACAGGGCTTATGTTTTATTTTGCTTGGGAAAGGCTTATGGAAGCTGCTTATTGAAAAGGCATCATGCAGAGGCAACATGCGGAAGAAAGAGAATGGAGCCTGCAGATAAACTATCCAGTGCTCATTAGAACTGCAGGCACGGCTTCATTACTCCGTCCTGACTTTTTTCTCCCTTTATAACTACTGCTGTGTGCCTTGCAAAACTGTGAGAGAGCTCGACCATAGAGACCAGCAAATCAGAGTGGAACGAAACCTGAGCAAATCAAAATCATGCTCCACGGGCGAAGAGAGATCACCTTATATGGGAACATCATGGGCAAGAAGATGAATACATCCTGCCGAGCTGCTGAGGTCAGATCCCAAACAGATGGAAGACGTTAATGTGAAAACGAACATTTAGGAAGAGAAGAGGATGCTTACTTCTGCTTATGCAATCTGAGCCCTTCTGTTTGTCTCTTTTATTATAAATACTGTGTTATGTGTATGTACACATAGGTCTGACCGTGTTAGACTAAAAATCAATTTCTTCCTGGCTGTTCTAGCTTCTAAATGCATCCCAGGTCTGTTTCTGGTTCCCACTTGCAGCTTTTCAGTTGTTACTATGTAGCAGGATTTTGGTTGCAGAAGTGTCACTAAGACCAACCAGAGCATTGTGGACTGTGGTCAGCAAAAGCCTAAGGACTGATCACTGATGTCTCAAAAAAATTGAGCCTGTTTGTGCAGAACATAACCTGTTCCTGTGTGCTAAAGCATTTAAGCCAATACCAACAGCCAAGAAGCCTGTCTGATTCTGAATGTTTGGTTATGACTACAGCCATAGGTAGCATCCTAGGTGATTTAAATACTGAAGGACTGGAAGAAAAACGTTAGATCTGTGTTGTAGGGTTTGTGTATATTGTGCCTCTGTATGGGTCTTCTGTTGCAAGAGAGAGGACCCTGGTGCTTTTAATCTGGGTCTAATGGATTCTGATCCAAACTTCTAGTCTTTTAGAGTCTGAGACTGAGATTTACAGGTCCCGCCTTGACAGCTCCACCTCTGTGGTTATGGTGTCAGATGGTGGCCTCACAGCTGCTCCTTGACCCCCTGGACCAGATGCAAATAGTTGGCTTGCAGCACACTGACCAGCTCTGACTTGTGCCTGGTTCTGTGGAGTAGGAGAGGCTGCAGCTGAAGTATGTGCCGTGTATTGGCTCTGCTGAGAGGAGCAGTGACTTTGTCACTCCCTTTTAATCCCATGACCTGATACAAAACCAGTCTAAGACCAAATAGGGTGGTGTGCCGTGCCATGTGAGATGAGAAGCTGGAGATCTCTGTGGCCACTAATGACCCAAAAGCTTGCTTTACCATTGCCCTGTGCCTTGCCTGGCCATTGTCACCCCTGTGAAGTGGGTGTTGCATGCATCTGCCCAGTCCAGAAGTGCGTTACACCTTCTTTGCGCTGGTGTGAAGTGTTAGGTGGTGGAGAGTCAGGCCCAGAAGGAGGCCGGTGTGATGCTGGCTTACATCCTTTTAACCTCATCTCTACAGTTGTCCCAGCATTACTTCAGACTGGCAAAGTCTGGTAGTACTGTGGAGAGATGGCGCCATCAACACAAAGGGACACGAACAGTGCTGAGCAATCAGCTCTGGAGCTCCAGGATGAAATTTGGTGCTTTTTCTGTGAACAAACCAAAGGACGTGGCTCTTCAGGCAGCTCTTCATTCCACCAACTGCCATTCTTTAAAAGGCCTGTGGTACCATTCTCATACGGATTTCTGACTGTGCCTTTAAGTGGGGTGGCCTGGGAAGGATGCAGGGGTGGAAGAAGAGAGCAGCAGGCAGCTGCAGTTTTCGGCAGCCAGTACCTTGCAGGAAGTGCTAACGATGGGTGCGTGTGGCTGGCGGGAATGCCTGACTGAGTACGACTCTCCAAAATACATACGCATTCAGAGTGCTACATATGGATCCCTGAAATGCTTCCTTTACATAACTGTTGCTCTGTCTATTTGGTAAGTGCGCGGTGACGGGGTGCTGCGTTGTGTGTGAACAAATGCTGCTTGTGTTGGGGGTTGTTCTGGTTACAGCTTGGCTTTCAGCGCTTTGCGTTTTGTAGCAGCAAACACAGTCATTGGTCTGGTGTTAGACCATTCTTGGAAGATGGATGTGGTTGTGGGAACTTTGTGGTGGGAGTATGGCTTAGGATGTTATCTGACAAGGTGGGGTTGCTTAGAAAGAGTTAACCAAGTTCCTCTAAAAAACACTTGCAGTTTCATTTCTTGCCATGTTGTCTGATTTTGTTTCTTGTCTGAAAAATCCAATAACTCCACCGAATAATCTCAGATTTACACCAGTGTTTCTGAGATTGGAGTCTGCTCTGTCGAGTCTGCCATTCAGGGTCAGATGAAATGTCAAGTCACCCCTTGCAGCAGATTCCAAGAACAATAAGATGCTTTAGAAATATGCAGTAACTGATTGCCTCTAAAGGGCAGATTTTCCTCTTTGCTGCCAAACTAGTGCTGTTCTCAGTGATAAGTGTTTGCTGAACAAAGTCTGCCGAAGTTCATAAAGTTAGTTTCGTTCTCATGGGAGGGCAGCAAGCCAGGCCATTGAGCACAATGATCCCAATCTCACAAAGAATCGAGTCTGCAGGAAATTCAAATTGCCTTGCGAAGGTACTATACCCACCTACTGCTGCTGGGTTCCCACTGCCAGTTTCCAACAACATGGTTATCCCAAAGCACTGTTCTCCAGAAGGAAAAGGCTGAAATGCTATTATAATAGATGATATAAGTAAAGGAACATTGATCAATTGCTTTGTATTTCTGTTCTTCAGATACCGTTTTATCTCCCCCCTCCCCAGAACAGTCTGTTGTTAAACTGAAATGGTGCTAGCTCTTGTCACTTGATTTTCAAAGCAAACCTTTTATGTCACTTTTATTTAGTGTGGAAAGTATCTTCTGACCATACAACAGTTTTTCAAAATTGACAGTGTTTTTATGAGTTGGATGAGCTAGGTGACTTTCCTGTTAGCTTAAAAACAGAGGCATCCGTCCTCCTTTTATTAACGCATTCAATTCATGAGAAAGCGAGAACATTAGGCCAAGGTTTTTGAAGCAATCAGCATGAGGCACAAAAAAAGGCACTCTGGAGAGTTAGGGACTAAGTATTTTAAGCTCTTTAAAAAAAAAAATGTAGAGAGAACACTACTGTTAGTGACGGAAAAAGTCAAAGTCTAGGTACACAGCAACGCAGCGTGGGTGAAAGTTTTTGGATGACGTCAAGCCCTGTTGCAGTTAATTGGTGTTTCACAAATGGCATCTGAAGGGCCAGGATGCCACCTCATGTTGTCTATATCATTTAGGATGGGAAAATAGAAATTATCTTCTTGCATATATCAATTAATTTCTGACAAAGCCAACAGCTGCGAAAGTGAAACCAAGGCAGACTTTGGTCCAGCCGACATATGTGTCTCACACAAAAAGGCTCTCAGTTATTTGAAAATGTCCGTCTGACTTTTATCTTGCAGTGCATGTTGTCCAAGAATGATACAAAGAAGCTGACACGTTTTATTCTTGTGGGCTTATTTGTCGTTTCTGTTTTATCTGGACAGTTGTATAGTCATCATTTACAGACTCTATGAGGTGACGGATGAAGTTAACAGCTCAGTTCGCACCAGTGTGAAGGGAGTGGCTTACGCAAACACCAGGATCTGGGATACAGCAGAATACACTATACCAATGCAGGCAAGTCTGAATTTAATGTCAGTCCAGTGTTCAGCTTCCATTGATACATCTGGTTGCTTTCCTGACTTGTCTCTGTCCTGCTAATCCAATGTGATTATTTTACATTGGAGACAGCAAGGTTTACAGCCAACTCTCCCCTTCCTCCCTTAATATAAGGGAAGAAAAATATCCTCTTTTATGAGATTTCTGTGGTGTTATTTGTTGTACAATTTTTACATAATCAATTTAGTATTTTGGTAATAGCAAACCTAGGAACAGATTCACTCCAGTATAGCTTTACTAAACACAGTAGTGTTAGTACCAATTAATGCTAGTGTATCTTTCTTACTTGTAATGCCAGTTTAAAAAAACCTCAGTGCCTTCTTGCCTCTGGCTGTTCATTCGTGCCCTGATGATGTCCCTGTCTTTTCCTATTTGAGCCAGGTAGAAGCTGAATATCTATCAGGGGGGGGCAGTTCAGGAGCAGCCTTGTTGTCCTTCCAGGTGATGTTCTGGAATGGCTGAGGTCTGAATCAAGTATGTGACATTTCAGTCAGATTCTTATTCTTTCCTCCTTGTAGGCAGTGAACTCTTTTTTCGTGATAACCAACATGATTATGACAGAGAACCAGCTTCAGCAGGAGTGCCCTGAGGTAAATATGTTTTATGACCTATATTTAGGATGTATCAAATGCATATTGATGTAAAAGAGTGGACTGTCCTTGGAGCAGTCTGGTACAAGCAAATACTGTTGCTCTTTAATTGCTCCTTTTCTTTCTTGGGGAATCAGCTGGCAGTTGTGAGCTGGTGGCTCACACCAGTGACCTTGCAGCCAAACCTATCTGCATCACTTTCAGGAGGTGATGACATTCAGGCCAGTGATTGCTGTCCACCTTCTCTAGCATTGCTGCTGCTCTTGAGGAAAACCTGGAGGAATGTTGGAGCTACAGAATTGCTATCAGCTTCTCTGCTAATGTGGTGCTTTTACTATTACTGTTGCTTATGCCTACATGTCCCCTTTCTTCCTTTTTGCAGGCCAAACCTGGTCATCAGCTGCAGCTCTTCTCTTCATTTGGCTGGCCTAGAAGTGGGACATTGCAGAGTAGTTCCTGAATACAAGTTGATTTTCACTGGCAAAAGTATATGGGACTGTTAGAAAACAAAGAATTAAATAGCCCCGTATTAAATTTATTCTGCTTAACAGAATTGGAGAGAGTGTGAAAAATGGGAAAGATATAAATAACAAAGGAAAATGTTACTGTAAGCAAGGAAAGGGCTTTTTTTTTTGGTTTTGCAGGTGGCTGAGCCTTTGTCTCCTATAAGCCAAATAATTAGTAAGGGTTATACCTGCTCTGCATGGTTATTTTTTCTAATTGTTTTATATTTTTACTTTGAAGCTGAGTAAGACTTTTTATATAGGTGTGGAGCAGGAGATATTTATATTTACATTTATATTTTTCCAGTATCCCTTCGCCAAAGCTATCTGCTCTTCAGACAAGTCCTGTGAAAAAGGGAGTGTAGACATCCACAGTAATGGTGCGTAAACAGCATTTTCAGATTGAAATATTTTTTTGTGGGTGCTGTCTTCTATTGCATTATTGACCAGTGCAGCATGTACAAGATCCAACTTGGATAACTGCAGTAGAACAGTACAGAATCCCAAGAGATATCTGAGAACATATTTTTAAAACTACAAAACTGAGTTCTTATCAGCTTGTGTGTGCCCTTACTAAAGGGAGAAACAGTGAGAGGGAGAAGAGGAAGGCGAGATGTGAAGGAGCGTACAGACTGGTGTGAATGAGGGCCGATCTCACACTCACTCCCATTGAAGTCTGCGGCTGCTTAGCAAGCGGAGCAACTGCAGGATCTGTTTGAAGGGTCTGTAACACCGCTATGATGGTTAGATAGTTCTCAGAGTAGGGAACTTGTGTCCTTTATCTGGGACTTGTCCAGAAGGCATCATACTGTTTTCATCAGCTGTGCAAGTTCTTTGTGGCCCTGAGAATCCTGAATCTGGGCTTCTGGCTGGATTATCACTTTCCCTGATAAAGACTAAACACTCACAGAAAATGCTGACTTTCCAGGAGGGCAGAAAGAAGTTTTTTGCCCACCTTTATGTCCTGATTTGATCTACTCATGTTGCTGAATTAAGCTTCTGACTGAAAGAGTTGGTTTCTCGATTTATCCCAAGACTCAGATAGGTAACTTCATATAAAACTGTGAAGGAATTTAATTCACCCTCTGCCAAACAATGACAAGCACTGTTGACCCAAGCAAATAGCTAAATAAGGATTGATGAGGTGTGGCAGGACCGTGGTTTGGGTAGTTCTTCCTACATCTTCCTCCTATAGAAAGCTGCAACAATCTGCAATGTGAAGCTCCCTATCTTACATTTGAGGAGAATCCACTGACATGTTGAAACTGTCTCTAATTAGCACAAAACTCTTGTCATTGCTGAGTAAGAGCTTATTTCTCTACAGGAATTCAAACAGGAAGATGTGTGAATTATAATGCAACTGTTAAAACCTGTGAGGTCACGGCATGGTGCCCTGTGGAATCCATGGGAAACCCCCCTGAGTAAGTGAAAGAGATATCTTCGGGGTTTTTTAATGTCAAAAGAAAGATTTACTTTGACAAAGTCATGAAATTTTAGGATAATCCCTTTGCACATATAGGTCTCATGTATGTAAAACAACTATTTCCTTCATAGCCATACTATTAACACTCATTATAATATCTAAATAACTTCTAACAATCTGTCCTGTTGTACAATTCTGCAGTGAAGTCACAGCCTCCAGTTTGTATCATCATGCAGCTGCCATAGAAACAGTTTTAGATGTCACAGGCTCATCTTGAATTGACTAGAGGCATTTGGCTCATTAAGTCAAATGTCAAGGAAAATGCATCAACGTAAGAAAGGTTTAATCAGTGACAGAAACAAAAAGTTTCCTAACTTGGGGTTTCCTTCTGCAAGGCTTAGGGCTCTATGGTGTAGAAGTTCTTTGTGGGTTCATTTATCCCAGTGAGGTTGCATCCACCTCCCAGAACATCAGGGGTAGATTGGTTGTCTGTACATTGTGCTGCAGGGTAGTGTTTGGACGTGCACCTCAGACTGAAGACCAGCCTCTCCATCCTCTCTAGGCAGATGACGAAAAGCTCAATGCTGGCAATCTGTAATAGTGAGCTGAAGAAAACTCTAGGAAAAAGACTCCACGGAACAATCCTGCTGTGACCGAGAGAGTAAGATGCAGGGGCCTCGTAGCCGTCTTTTTTTGTAACCCCATGACTTTACAGTGTTCTGAGATGAAAATGATCTGTTTCTATTCTGTATCAGCCAAAGCATGAAAAAAATTTTACAGGAGATTTTATTTCAACAGAAATGATGGAAATTATACATTAATAGAGCAAATGATAATCAATTTTAGCTCCCCTCAGCCAGCATTGAAATATATGTGTGAGAAACTAGGTCAATTATCACTTTCATTAACTCATTGCTTTTAAAAGATACAAGCATGATTCTATGTATGTGTCCCATCTTTTCCCTATTTTAGGGTTTTCTGCAGAGACTGAGCATGTTTTTCCACTGCCAGGTCCCCTCCAGAGCCCACAATGCCTCCTACAGCTCCTTCTGCTGAGTTTTTTTCAGCTGTTTAAAGGAATTTCCATTCCCTTCTCTGGCGGACAGAGCTGTGGTCTGAAAAAGGCTTTGTCCAACAACAGGAAGGCTGTAATTGTTCATACAGCGTCGGGGAAAGATATGCATGAGCTTCCTGAGTTAATGAAATCCTAGGGTTTTTTTATAAAGTTTCAGTGACTGCCAGTCATTTTTAAATGTCACACTGCGTAGGCTTACTGCTGCATATGTTACAGAGGGAATTTTGCTTTTAATTACATCGCACAGTTGACACATTCTGTCTTGTTTCCTAACCTTCCTCTGAAGTGCCAGTAGTCGGTCACTACCAGGGACCAAAAATAATGGATGAGAGGTTTGATCAAAACCTCTGATATATAAAGTTCTTTCACAAGTTCCATTGGCAAGGAAAAAATGAGGAACCGCTAAAAAGCAAAGCTGAGTGTTTGTTTTCTACCAGAGCGATACAAAAGACCAAGGTCAGAGCCCAGGAAGCTTTGCCATCTGGTTGAGATACTGAGGTAGCAATGTTGGGCTTTGGTTACGCCCATGATTGTCTTTATTGTCCAAACTCCTTTGAGAGGTAAGTTTCATGAACTGTACAGGAGGCCTCCTTTTCCTTCCCGTTTGTTATGGCAGGAGCTGAACAAAGGCATTGGATGTTGGCAAGAAGATTCTTTTATTTTTGATTGTTCGTTTCTGCCTGAGGCAGGGCACAGTTGTCAGATTAGCTGGCTGAAGGACAGGTGTTTACAACACCTTTTTGAGAAGAGCTTTGGATCAGATTCCAGATGCTTCCCAGTGGATGAATCATGGACAGTTTCACATTATAGGTTAATTCAATTTTAGTTCTGTAAAAATTAACTTACTCTATTAATGTCTTGACTGTTACACACTGAAACTCACCAGTGACTTTCATGTCCGGATAGCATCCACAAATGTTAATTTGGTTTGCAGTCAAGTCTCATTCACTGGCTTGGTTTAGAAGACATTCATAAGAAGTCCCTCATGAAGCTGCGTGTCATCCAGCTGATGTGCTTCTTGTCATCACAGATCTCTGATGCAGAGACATTGCTCAAAATACAATGATAGGAAAAATATTCCCTGCTTAGAAGCACCGTCCTTGATTTGGGGTGACTGCTTTGAAGACTGGATTTCCCCTTTGGAATGGCTGTCTTGATGGAAGTTAAAATATTCCTGGCTCATTCTTAAAATGGAACAATGCCAGTATTCCAGTTCAGCACAGTCCCTATGCTAGACAAACAGTGCTAAAAATTGTATCTTTTACGTTTCTATAGCCCTGGCAAGTCCTGCAGGAGGTTGTCTCACACAGTCTAGGCCAAGGTTACCCAGCCGGCAACTTGTGGGAAAATTCCTTCTTTCCTGCTACATTAGCTTCAGAGAAATCACTATTTTATTAAATCATAGAATGCTTTGGGTTGGGAGGGACCTTTAGAGGTCATCTCGTCCAACCCCCCTGCAGTGAGCAGGGACATCTTCAACTGGATCAGATTGCTAGACTGGCAGCCTGCTTTCCATTGTGTTTGCATTCCACCTGCATGTTTAGTGGCACAAACCACTGCAGGAGAGGTCCTCGAACCAGTATCTGCTAGGAAGGCAGGACAACCTTTGCTGATGTGACTGACACCTGACTTCCAGAGACATCCTCTAGGACTGAGCGTGTGGCTCGTTCTTGCACTGGCTAGCTGTGCAGCTCTGGTGTAAGTGGCCTCCTGTCTGTGGGCACCAGCAATGGAGCTGCCAATTCATTGTGCAGAAATCGTCAAATGGTGTAACTTCTTACTACTATTCTATAGCAAGATTTATATGGGAAGTCTCCTGCAATCATATTTCAGCTGCATGTAGAGACTCCAGTTAGGCTTGGTCCACACAAACAAGTGCAATAGAGAACAATTTATACCTAAAACTAAGAAAACCACCTATATCTTTCTTGATCCCCTGAGCCGCCTAACACTCTGCATTTCAATCTGTTATTCTTAGCAACATATTCCTCCTACTGACAGCTTTCCAGGTAATAGTAAAGTAGCATAACATTAACTGATGTATTAAAGTAAAAAAAGTTAGTTAATTTGATGTTTCTTTTTTAGGCCTGCTGTTCTGAGGAGTTCTGAAGACTTCACTGTGCTAATAAAGAACAACATTCTCTTCCCCAAATTTAATTACACTGTGTAAGTGCAAACATTTCTCAGTGCTTTCTGAAGATTGAGTAGTTGTGCTCTGAAAAAAATGTATAAATTGGCACCTTCTCTACTGAAAAAGGCCATGCATTCAGGGCTGTATCTGCCTGAGTGACAAATATCAACTTTCTATAACTCTTTAGCCCTATTAATCCTTCAGAATCCAAGAGAAATAAGGAGAGATTGGGAACAGAGCCTCCCAGCATAACTCTGTTTCTGTCATGCACTGAACAACAGAATTGTTCATTCAGATATACTGGTTTATGTTAGGGTAAAATCACTAAAATATAGCACAACAGACATGCAATTCAAATTCTAAGGTGAAAGTGTTTAGTGTACACAGGTAGAATTTGGCTGGTGATAATATCCAAAGAGTAAAGAATTCATCTTGATTCCCGGATCCCAGTTAGGGTTATACCGATCTGGTAGCTACGAAACCAGAAGCTCATATACTTACAAACCGAGCACATTAAAAAAAAAGGTTCTAGTAAGTGTGTCCCTTACCTGTATCTGTAGCTGCTCCATCTTGCTTTGAAATTTAAACAATTGTATGTGTTCTTCACAGACGAAATATGCCACCAAATTTAAATACTTCCTGCACATACAACAAGAAAACTAACCCACTCTGTCCAATTTTCCGTCTGGGAGATATCCTTCATGAAGCAAAAGAGAATTTTTCTGAGATGGCAGTAAAGGTTTGTGGTATCACTTTTTTTTCATGCTCAATGTTTAGACATTTTCTTGATTCTCTTCCTGCATGTTTTGCTGTCTGCCATATACAGCAGGATTGTTCTAGGTTTAGAAACTGATTGTGTGAGAAGCAAAGTAACCCCAGCTTTCAAGAATTAAATGTGCTTAACATCTCACAGGATGGGGAACCATGTTGCCAGAGTTGATAGTATTTTGTTAGTATTGCAGCATGTATAGACCCTTTGACAAAGCACAGTGCCTTTAAATAGGTCCTATACAAGGCTGTCACTCGTGGTCATCTTTTGATTCTACTCAAGCAGATCCTAAACCATGTTGGTGGAGGAATCATCCTGAAGTCAGACTGGCACAAATGGCAGCTTATATTCAGAGTCAAAAAGCACTTATTTTTGCCATTACATTTTCACTATGTTCTTTAGGGTATTGAGCCAAATGCCCTTAAAACAGTGTCCAGCCATACCTCTCGAAAGTCATTATTAATAGTTGGGTAGAACAGAAGTAGAGACAGTGACCTGCCCAGAGTCATCAGCTGAGCCACGTTCATTGATTCTCAGCCTGGCACAGTGCATTCAAGATGAAACGTTTGGACTGAGTGCCTACAAAACTTGGGCTTGCACTCAGGCTTTTGGTTTGAGTCTATACATAGTTTAAAGCAATGAAACGACCATCACAGTATGTCAGCTACATCCACACTTGTGCTACTAAGATAAAGAGAAGTAGACAGGAGATAGGAAAGGCCTGGATGAATGGTAGCTTCTAGCTCACATGGCTAAGTCACTTCTGTAGAAGGCTGCTTGGGTGGCAAATGTTGCTTAAGAGTTAGCGTGTCTGTAGAGATGTGTCCTTGCCAATGGCATCCCTCCAGTCTCTGCTGACTTAACAGCAGTTTAGCACAGGCAGCAATCACAACGCTTGTCTCTAAGCTTACTGTGTCTGTTTCTAGGGAGGAATCATTGCCTTTGAGATTAACTGGGACTGTAACTTGGACAGCTGGTTTTACGATTGCAGTCCAAAGTATGGTTTCCGCCGCCTTGATGACAAAAAAATAAAGCCTGGATTCCACTTCAGGTAAAAAATGTTACATGAAGCAAGTAGTGTGTTTTCTGGCTTGAAGCAAAGATGTGGTGAGGTATGGGGAATGATGACTTGGAATGACAAGACGTTTGATTCTCCTTCTTCACTCCTGTAGCCATGTACTTAACCTGCAGTTACTGCAGTTGTATAGATGTATCATCATGGTCATCTTCCAAATGAGCGTGCCTGTATTGCAGGAGATTTTATTTCTGTGTTGAAAGGCCTAGAAATTTCCAACAAGTGTTCTGGGAGCTAACACAGAGAATAGTTTGGGCAGATTCCACCATATGGCAAGTGAGGCTTGAAACTACCTAAACTTGTGAGTTTCCCAAGGCAATTAACACAAATAAAATAAAGTGTTTTTCTTCCATCTGGGTAACCCCACAGTTCACTGAATCAAGATTTATTCAAAAACAAATTGGAGCTTTTGGTTCTGTGTGCATATAGCAGATTTATGAGAAGTTTTGATAAAAAATTTTGACATGACTCCATTGCTAAATAGTTACACAAAGCGTTTTCAAATGCTTATCAGTGTGTTTAAAACTAAAGTCCCTCAGATCTAGGTCAAAACTCTTGTGTAACAACACTCTCTTTTTGACTCGCAGCAGGATTGTTCTTACATTATGGGTTTTCATACATTTGTGCTGCTGACACGAGTGCTGTAACTGTCTGGGAGCCACCAGCGTATTCCGAAGCAGCGTTGTGCTGGAGCTGTGCAAACAAAGAACAAATAAGTGTTCCCTCCGACCTGGCAGCCACAGACAGGAGGTGGGGGAGACCACAAGATAAAAGCAAGACAGTGCTGTGAGGCTGAGGCCAGCAACGTTTCTGTTGAATACATTTTTGTAGGCAAAGCAGTTTCTGAGAAGGCTTCTGGAAGAAGGCAGCAGAGTAGTTTTGAGGATGTTTGGTGTCAGATTAACAGCTGGGGTCAAAAGGCTAAGAATGGGTTTCCCCAAAGTTTGTTATCTTTTAAGCATCAAAATATCAGTCTGTAGCAAGATTATTTTGCTGCAGTTCAGCTGAAATCTCTGCTGCAGGAGGTGAGCCTGGTCTGAGAACATAGGCTGCTGGGAGGGCGTGCATGATGCCAGACCACATCCTGAAGGCCTGATTGGCAAATAAATGTCATTCTCTAATGTCTCCAAAATTAAAAAAGAGGAGCAGAGTAGTTTGGGGCAGTGATTTGAAAAGCAAAGACAGTGAAAATTGAAAAGCAGTGAATAGATTGAGTATAATACTATTCAAAACAAGCATGGATGTTTTGGCGAAGAACATGCACAAACCCGGCCACGCTGTTGAGCTAGCGTATGCCAACTTGCATAAACAGAGCTTCTGATTTCGGTAGAACTACCCAAGTGAGTAAGGGGAGGAGAGCTAGAAATGATCCTACAATTAATATATTTCAAGTAAACTTTTTTAACATCAGTGACATGTCATAAGAATGTAAAATATTATCATTTCAGAGGTCCATCCAGCCCAGCATCCTAAAGCTAACAAAGATCAATAGCAGGAGAAAATTTTGGAAAAGAGCATAAGAAAAAAGGCACGTATAGAATGCTGCTTCCCCTGCAGTCTAGCTGTCCTAGAAGTCAGGAAAGGTACTTTGGACAGCTTATAACCTCTGTCCGCATGGAGCCCTACTGATTTCATCTCCGTTCCAAAGGGCATTTTGTGATAGACTTCAATGGAAGCAGTCTTTAGCCTTCCAAAAGAAAAGAACTACTTGAGGTGCAAGGGAGCAAAGCTTCAGCCAGTGATCAAGAAAGCTCTTAACAGGTCAGCTCTGAGCACAGAGCTGTTAGAGAGAAGAAGGTTTCTCTGCCATCAAGAGTGGATGTGAAATAACCTCTACCCTGAGGGCTAGAGAAAACCTCTGGTCCTGGAAAGAGTTAGGAAAATTTTCAGATAAAGCCTGACTGTCCTGCAGGCTTCAGATGTTAAGAGCTGACCAGTAAAACATGGCTTGGCCACAGACTGTGGAACTGTTCAGCACAGGAAAATGGGCATTTCATGTCTGTGCAAGCAAGGAGAAAGCAGAACACATTACAATGTCTTTTTCCGAGTGACTCACTGGCTTCAGAGAATACAAGTCAGATCGCGGTGAATGGGAAGCGAATGATTGCATGATCTAGGAAACTCTGATTAAAAGCACTCTGAAAGTCTGCCAAACTTAGCTTGCAGTAGGATGTGCAGGAGAGAGTGGAATGAAGAAAAAGCTTACTCTGGGCTGGTAAGATGGCAAAGCAGAGCAACAAGGACTGAACCCAAAGAGAAAGGAAAGGAGGAAGATGTATTTTTCTTTAGATGTCTCTGTCATCTGAATGAGTACCTGGAGATGCTAGAAAGCAGAGGGCTGAGCTGATGGCATTTACACCAGACATATCCTCTTAAACAGTTTACCCTTTCGGTACTTGAACAGGCAACCAACTATAAAACAAATTTTGATGAGCAATGACAGTGTGATCTGTGAGTATCTGCTGCTCCTGGAACTGACCTTCTGTCCCTTCGGCTAAGCAAACTCCCATTTAAATTATTTATCTAAATGAAGAAGAACAGGACTTAGAGATCACTCAAGTAAACCAGTCAAGAAAAATACAGCACTTGAAGTCCCGAGAGCATGTCTGAGGCAGAAGGCATATGGATGTTGTTATCGGAGGTTGGATATTGGTACCATGGTGTGTTTTAGTATGCCTTTCAGTTCAGTGTAATGATTTTGTCTGTACTGCCAACTTTTCATTGTCAGATTTATAAAGATCTCTTTGTTCCATGCTCTGTGACTGCTTATTGATCCATAAGCTGATGTGAGCTGTACATCATAAGGGTCATGTCCTTGGTAGAATACGAGAATGGAAGTTAATAAAGGCTCACACTATTCTTGCCACTCCCTACTGATTGAAGAATGGAAAATGGCTGATAAGCAGCATGCTGAAGTCTGCTCAGGAGTTTGGAGTTGGTCTTGGATAACGTGATATTAAAGCCTTCAGAGCATGGGCATTCTTGTCGTTGCCAGCTCCTCACATATGCTTGCTGGGGTTTTCTGTCTGCTTTACCTGTGATTGAACTTCTTTCTGCAGCTTCAGGTTCCAGTCTGAACTGAGACAGCAAAACACTTGTTGGACATTAGTTAGCTTTTTAATTTGTCTAAATCTCTATATATGTATTAATTTAGTTTAGACTGCTAGGTCAGATGCTGGGCAAAATGCTGTTTATCAAGCTGGCCACAGCACCTTCATTTCAGAAGGCTGCAAAGGCTGGAGGAAGAAGAGAGAAGAAGCTTTGCCTCTTTTTGTGTTCTACAGCCTCATGGCATTATATCACCCAGGGAAGCTGCACAGCTCTTTATTTACTCTTTTGCAGATACGCCAGGTACTACAAGCGATCAAATGGGGAGGAGCAGAGAACCCTTTTCAAAGTCTACGGAATACGGTTTGATGTCCTTGTCTTTGGCACAGTAAATGCAATTCTTTTTCCTTGTGGAGGGAGAAGAAAGTTTGCTATTTCCTTTGCCCCACTTCTGCCATATACCCCTCTCCTCTCTTCTGTCCATCATTCTGGGATGGAAGCTATGTCAGATGAGTAGATCTAAACTGAACTGAGCAGCATAGGAGAGCAAAGCTGAGGATGACATGGCAGGGTTGGGAGAGAGACAGGATTGTTGTTTAAGACTGAGACAATAAGAAGTAGCATCATGACATGATGTTGTTGTCATGAACCCCGTGTGTCACCATTGTTTCACTCTCAAGTTGTTTATTCTCCCCTGCAAAGTGTCTGAGATAGTCTATGAAATTTTGGGATTGATTGAATTGTAAAGAGACAAAGATACGTTGTGAAGAGACAAAAAGAGAAAAGCCATTAAGTTGAATGAATGGTAACAGATCTTGCCTCCTAGTTACTCTTTTCTGCTTTCTTTAAGGGTAGAAAATTTGACGGCATTGAACTCCTTAAAAACATTGGATCCATGATCTCCTATTTTGGTTTGGTGAGAGACTTATTTTTTATGTTAATAGAATTAGTTCTAGAGATACCGTCTCATTAAGAAAATGGAATCACTACTTGCTTTTTTTCCGTGTGCAGGTTGCGAGTGCCATCGAAATTGCTATTTGTGTACATAATTGCTCCATCTGCGGCCAATCACCATTCTACAAAATTTACAACAGGAAAAAGTATGATACTGTGCTGAATCCAAGACAGGTAGAGAACGTAAATTGCTGCTTTATGGACACAGAAATGCAGCTGATCCAGGAAGCTTCCATGGAGCTGTGCACGGCATGCACTGCATGAGTGCAGACAACCTTGGCATGGCAGAGTCACACCAGCTCTATCAGGGAAAACTGCAGGGAATAGTGATCCTTCAAAACAGCAGAAGGATGTCATGAAAAGGTTGTCCATGAAGAGGGCATTGCTCAGAGCCTCTTCCCTGCCAGCTTTGGTTGCCTCTTCCTCTTTTTCAAGACGTTTAATCGTTATTTGTGTAGGCTGCCTCTACCAATCCCCCAGCATTTTAGACATGTATTTTTAAAGAAGAGTGAAGAGGAGAGTACCTAAAGGCCCTGCACCACCACACTCCTACAGTTAGTTCCATACCATCTCTTCCTGCTCCCTCTGTCCCCGCAGCTCCCCATGTCCTTGCTATGCTGGATACTGGAAACATGGGCGCTTGCGACATGCGGTTGCAGGGGATTTACTGGAGTACAGACTGCAGAACCCAAGCCTTGAGGTCAGATCTGTGCTGTGTTTGTCCCCAGTTCTCCCAGTAACTACTCCAGCTGACAATGCCAATTTCTTCTGCTGCACAGGTGATGTATGTGTCCTATGTTGACGAGCCACACATTACCTTGATAAAGAAGCCGCTGGAAACAAGCTTGCAGCACACTCAAGGCAGCAGCGTGGAGGTAAAGACAAGACACTTAACCTTTGGGTTCCTCCCTTCAGAAGGGCTAACGAAGGAATGGCATTCCAAACTGATTTGGGTGTCCCCCACCCCCTCCCCCCCATATTTCCAAATTAGATTCTGAGGGGCTAAAACTAGATTCCTATCGTCCACTTCGAGTTAATAGATCCTGTGACCAGAGGATGTATTTTCTAGAGTCAGCTAAAAATTGCTGCTTTCCTGTGGTGAGCATGTGCCAGCGGGAGCGCGTTGGTGTCGAAACAACTTGTGAGGTGTCAATTCGATTTCTCTAGGGTGGGCGTTGGCAACACAAAAAGACAATCCTCCTCCAGATCTGCTGATCTATCATCATTATCCCTATTGTGCTGTGTCAAATGAGAAACCCAATGGTGAGGATCACTGTTGGAAGTTCTCTTTGCAGTTGGATGAAGCAGCAAATGCTGATTTCTTAAATTTGTGTTGGGAATTGTTGTTGCAGAGCCACCCTGTGAAATTCTGTGATGCTGACAGCTACTGTACCAGCGAGCCCGACATGAACCACGATAATGAAGAACATGAGCTGAGGCAACCTCTTGGACAAGGGGCCTCTTCCCCAGGCTGCCAAAAGTGGTGCTGCTGTGGCAAGTGCCAGCCAGCACAGAAGTACCACGAGCAGCTCTGCTGCCGAAGGAAAAAAGGGCAGTGCATCACAACCTCTGAGGGGTTTCAGCAGCTGGTGCTGTCCAGTCACACTCTGAAGAAAGCTCTTCTCTACAAAGACCCCTTTCTGGACCTGACGAGTGGCGATATCAACAACCAGCTGCGTCACCTTGCTTATAAGCAGTACATTCACTGGCGCTTTGGCTCTTTTGATCTGGAAGACAGAGCCGTCATCCCAAGCTGCTGCAGATGGAAAATTAGAGATACTTATCCCAAAGCAGACAACAACTATACTGGTTTTGAGATGGAATGAGGATGTAGCACAACTTGAGCTCACACCGTGATTCACGTTGGGCATTTAACCTTTCTTTTCTTTCACAGACCTTTTACAAAAAAAAAAAAGAGAGCATGTGACTTCCCCAAATCTTCTGTAGTACAGCTGAAGTCTTGCATGCTATCTTTGGAGAGGTACAGTTGCCTACTGCTTAGTATAGAGGAACAGATACTTTGAGCTCAAGTGTTTGCTTCTGCCTTTGCTTCATTTTGTGAGTCACCCCACATGGTCTGGAAATGTAGCCTCTGGGCTGAATTCTTAGGGCTGTGTTTTTGCGGGAGGTTCTGGGCCTCCTGCCTTTGCACTGGCTCATACCAGAATCCCAGCTGAGTCAGGAGGTGACCAGCACCCTGGAAATAACATGGAGCCAAGAATCATCTCAAAGCGTGACCCCTGAAGGAAGGAGGTCCAAAAGAGATACCTGTTGAAAACATGGTCCTGAGTATTTTTCTCCCCTGGCCTCAGCACCTTTCTGCAGCCCTGGATCAAGAGGCTCTAGAAAGAGGCCACTGAGCAGATAGTTTCGTAACTCGCTGTTGAAAGCCTCACAGTCCATCCAGATAAAACAGGCTCATTTTAGATTATTGCAGTGACACAGACTAAGCATTTTCTGAAAAGTCCAACTGTTCTCTTTGTATTGCTCCTTTTAGCTTGAACTCAGGAATTACAATGAAAAGTACTTTTACCGCCTTTGTGTAATATTTTGGGGCATTTCATTCACTTATTGAAATTGTAATGTTGGACTTTGGCCTCCTGTTTGCTCTTAGCTTCAAACAGGCCTTGCCTCCTACACCTCCTCCTACCAAACTTAGCACAGCGCAAGTTGCTTTCTGCTGCGATGCGTAAGGCCAGAGTACAGGCAAGGAGCAGCAAATTCAGAGTAGATTAATCTGTGCTCCAATACCTTTTCGGTTCTTTCTTTTTGTTATACTTGGACATGTTCTATTTTTGTAGAAACAAGGTGAGAAGGGTTGTAACGTGTATATTCTGCTCTCCTTTCAACTAAGCTTTGTTCTTTCTGAGCTGACCCAGCAGTCTGCCATTTCCATTACCCACATGTATTTTAAGATACATTGCTGGCCGATTATGCCAGCTGTATTTATATCTTCAGGTGTAATAGGCATTCATTGTATTAACATTCATATTGCAGCACCTTACATATCCAGAGTGGGAAAATATTACAGCTGGCATTAATGCATTCCTGTTCTGACACACGAACCAGCTCTCCTTTTGGAAAGAATTACGCTGAATATTCGCTTAAGACTGTGATTTTAATCTCCTTTCACATTTGTACATATGTTCTTCCTTACCCTCTCCCCCCTTCTTTTGGTGCTTTTGGTTTTGACTGTTTTTGTAATAAATAGAGTGTTCCACTAATCTATAGCTGACTCAAAGTCTCTTTAATATTTTTGTAGTATCTGAAATTCCCACTGCCAGTTTGTCAGTTCATGTCATCTCTTTCTAATGGTTTACCTGCTATTATGAGGGTTATGGTGGTGTTTCTAAAACAAGCACTGCACTGGGCAGCTCCGCATCAAGTGGAAGATGCATAAATTAAGCGGTGCAGATCTCTGCTTTTATAGCAAAGATTAATTCTGTGAGAGGGTAAATGAAGAATTTGCTTGTTGGGGATGGGAGGGTGACAGTCTTAGCTACGCTTCTGCTGTCTTTTGCAGCCAGGCGCTCTGTCCTTGCCCTGAGTTGTGTCTTGGTGTTGGGGTGGCCCTGGCCTGAGGTCATCCATCCAGCTGACGTGCAGAAACAAACTCCACAACTCACGGAGAGTTATAAAGCAGGTATGTTTATTTATTACGGTGCCAGGTGCGAGGGGGATCACTCCTCCTAACTTGCACACCGAGTCACAAAGCATGTACCTATTTATTACAAAGTTTACCTAAGTAGGCAGGATTATTACAATTAGGTCTGGGAATAGGCTTGATTATTCTATTTCTAAGGATTCATTATCATACTCCACCCCTCTTTAGCGCCTGCGCAGTGTCGACTGGTGGTCATCTGAAGGGGTCTTCTGGATGAAGGGTCATAGTCCTCCTCACGAAGGCTTGTAGTCTTCCTCACTGTGTACTTTTTACCTTTGGCTCAAAATTCCTGAGTTGTCTGTGTTGGCTGAGTCTCAAACTTCAAAACCAGTTTCAGCTAGAGGGATGCTTCTTATAGACAGTGAGTTATCAGTCCTTATCCATCCCTCTTTCCCTCCCAGTTTCCCTTCATCTATCTTGCAGCAGTCTTTGTGATTTGCATCTGAGCTCACAGAAGTCCTTGTTAGCAGACCATTTGGCAGTGGTTAACCCTTGCCTCGACATAGCTGCAGAGCTATAGAACAAGCTAAAGCTGTAGCAAAATCGAACTAAATGCCAATTTCCCACATCACAGCTTCTTTAGCAGCCCAGACCGCGCAGGGCTGACCGCAGCAGACTGCCAGGTAACGGCTGACTCGCGTCTGGCCGGTACGGAGGGGCAAAACTTCCCATAAACTTACTAACAACCAGTAGCAACCCCTGCAATTTAGCAACCGGGGTGCGGGCATCCTCCCGCGGGTGACTCCCCG